AAATTTATTAATGTCATTTAGACTAAACGACGCCATGTTTGTTATGTGCCTCTGCCGTCTAAACTACCTATCAAAAAAGAAGAGGTGGAAGAGGGCCAGAAGATCTTCCCTATGCAAAAAAACAGAAATGGACCTCTTCTGGCTCACTACCGAAGAACAAAAAAACACGCCCCTGTTTCTTGTCGAAGACTGATTTACCCGGTACGTCTAAACACCACCTAGGCCGCCTTGGTGCACTAAGCTCTGAAAACTGCACTAAGCCCATGATGGAACAGTCATATAAGTACCAAGGTAATTCAGTATGATAATGTTGTAAATAAAGAGCATATATTTAAATTTTATTGTAAATGTATTTATAAATGAAAGAGTTATAAACATTTTACATGGCACGCGCCGACTTTTGTATAATGTGTCCAGTTATCATAGTGTTGATTGAATCCACCGAAGCTTGACGAGTTCATATAAACCAATACCAATATCTTTATTCCCATAACCATTGCAGATACATAGGTACAGAGAGAGTGCAAAATATGTACATGAATATGCATCTATTTACAAAACATATATACAATACAGTGGTTTCCAAATAATATACATTTTAGCTAGGAGGACCCACATGTTTATTTATACACTTTATAAACTTACATAATCTTTTTAGCTCTGAATTTTTGTTCAATTTGCTCATCAATTTTCTAAACTTTAGTGTATTAACATAAGCCAGATAGTACTTATCAAGGTATAATTTTCTACTGTCGTTAAAAAATGGACATTCTAGCAGATAATGAAATTCGTCTCCAATGCTACCAATATTACAAAGATGACATTTTCTATCATTTCTATTAACATTGTTCCACCTCCCTGTCTCTATTGAGAGTCTGTAGTTTGTGGTTCTATATCTACATAAAATAATACTTTCGTGCATATCCAACATATCAAAATATTTGTTTTCAAAATTTAATTCTAACTTAAAAATTCTATAATTTACTGATTATGTAGACTCTTGAAATTGTGTATTCCACAACTGTTTGTATTGGTCTTGTAATCGCAACTTTAGTGCATTTTTTAATCATATATCATTACCAAAACATTAAGAAATCCAAATGTTTGAAAAACCACATTCATCCAATATATTTTTAACTTCACTCACAAAAAATGTACATACATTATTAACAGTAAATAGTGTTTTTTATAGTGTATATGCGATAGAAGATAACTTAGTCTCTTTAGCAGATACTAATTTACACCAATAAGATACTATTTTTAATTTAAAGGATATCTACCAAGTTCTCCGTATACCATATAGCTAGGTGTGGAATTTTCAGTTTCAAAAGAAGTTTACAGAATTTCTGATGGATTCTTTCTATAATTTCAACATCACCATGCCCCCAAATTTCACCTCCATACAAAAGTATGGGTTTCACAACTATATAGAAAAGATCTAAGTGACACTGAGTGGAAATATTACGTATGCGGCCTGATTTCAACACCTTAAACATAGCTTGTGTGGCTTTTTCTGCTAGGTGTTTCTGTGCTAATTTAGTATTACCAGTTCTAGATAATAATATGCCCAAATAGTTAAATTCTTTTAATATTTTCAATGTCAGTGCCGTCTATAGCTATATAAAAATGTAAATTTGACGGTATTCTGCCTCTAGAAAAAATCATCACTTTAGTTAACTTTAAGCTTCCAAATATTACAGTATTCACTGAAAGAATCCAGCTGTTTCTGTAAATCATCAGCACTTTCTGCCAATAGTACTATGTCGTCTGAACTAAGGATATAAATGGAAAGGTTAAATATGCACCAAGATCGTAAATTAAGATTGATTATTATAATGTAAACAAATATGTTCAAAGTTGGTTCGAAAATCTTAAGAGATTTAAAAGTTATCATAAAAAAGAAGATGTGGTATGATTGTTAATGAGACAACTCTCCACAAGAGACCAAATGACACAGAAATTAACAACTATAGGTCACCGTACGGCCTTCAACAATGAGCAAATTCCATACCGCACAGTCAGCTATAAAAGGCCCCGAAATGACAATGCAAAACAATTCAAACGAGAAAACTAACGGCCTAATTTATGTACAAAAAATGAACAAAAAACAAATATGTAACACATAAACAAACAACAACCACTGAATTACAGGCTCCTGACTTGGAACAGGCACATACATACAAAATGTGGAGTTAAACATGTAAGCGGGATCCCAAGCCTCCCCCTAACCTGGGACAGTGGTGTAACAGTACAACATAAGAACGAACTATAAAAATCAGTTGAAAGAGGCTTAACTCATCAGATGGATACAAATACAAATACTACAAATACAAGTTAACATTTTTACGGGGCACGCGCTCTTCTTGTGTTATGTCTGATCACCTTGAAAATTGATCCAACCAATCTTTAACTGGTAAATTATGTTTCCTTGTTGCTAAGTAGTAATGATAAAAGGGCTGTTGATCTTTTCTTTGATGCTTTGTTAGAAAAAATATATTTGGAAAAAGTGATTGTTTAATTGCGCTATTTGAAATAAAAACAGTGAAACAATAGAAATTGGCTTTTACTCAAAGACATATCTGATTTACCTATGGCGTTTTTGTCGTTTGGTTGCTGTCAAATTGAAGTTTATTCCACATCTCCTATAGTTTGAGTTCTGTTTGATTACTTTTTATTACCGTCTCCTCGGAGACGGTATTAAGAGTTGAACGATGGACAGTCTGCGGGCTGAAGGCTTTCTTACTACCTAATTGGAAGATATTACTGACGCTGTCATAATTAAATTTCGTTCATTGGTTGGGACAATTCAAACCTAGTAAATGTCTTTTAATCCCGTAGAGTGTCGGATCTGAACTCTTTATTTTAGTAAATAGATTTGCCTGGTTACCAATCATGCATATCGGTACACAGGTAACACTTATCTATAAATAGCCAAATCTCCTGAAGATTTGTAAACACACACGTGATTATTTCATGTTACGTACATTTTATACGTGAAAACATAAGAAAACTTTTAGGAAAATGCCTTTTTCTTAAGTTATATTTATTTATACTCAGTAAGATTTGATTTGATTTGATTTTTGGTGTTTTAACGCCACTTTTAAGCACCGCTTTTAGGCTATTTCGTGGCGGCCAGTTTTTATTGGTGGAGGAAGCCGGAGCGCCCGGAGAAAACCACCGACCTTCGATAGGAAAACTGACAATCTTAGTCAATTAAGATTGGAGTCGAGTGCACCCGCACGAGCGGGGTTCGAACTCACAACCTCAGTGTTGACTGGCTAGTGATTACAGTAGTAACTACTTAGACCACTCGGCCACCGAGGCCCCCTACTCAGTAAGATAATCTACAGGCAACACAAACATTTTAAAACGGAGCTATCAAATAATTTCTGTTCGATTAATATTAATTTACACAAGAATTTTTATCTCAGGGGGCGGGGGCGGCGGCGGTGGCACTTCGATCTTTCCAATACCCCACCCTTTATATATATATATATATATATATATATATATTAACAAGTCTAAATTGAAAACAACGTTCAAACCTATGATTGCGTTGGATAAAAACCGCAATTTTTATACGTGTGCATGCAAAACAAATTTCTTGGTAGAAGGGTCTAAATACAGCACAAACAACATTTTCCAAAAGGCCAAATGAGTGAAAAAGTATATTTTAACAAAACGCATTTGACTAGCAGGTCGAACAACTGATGTTCTTAAACCCTGCTGACTGCCATTGGCGATTGACAAATAAACGGATCACAAGATGTAACAATAAGTTTTTATCATTAATTTATTACCAAACAGAAAACAATAAACTTGCGGAAAAGATGGTATACCGCAAACATGAGGTGCAAACATTTGTACACCATATCCGGATTTCGACAATTAATGTCTCTTCAGTGATGTTAGGAATCGAAACGGTATTTGGAAGGCCATATAATTTACCTCAATTTAGGATAGACTCTTGAATTTTGAAAGAGTCAAAATAGGATGAACGGATCATATAAGTCCGAAGGCAAATTTGACTATATATATTGAATGATAAAAGAACATACATGCAGTTACCCTAGCTATCATATATATTTTTTACAATAAGTATATATACCTGCACATAGCTATCATTGTTACGCTATTTCCTGGGGAGATACTAGTAAATAGATTTGACAAATATCTTAAACATTTACGAAAGTGATTTTAGAGACATATATACACAATCTCTGGTGATTTTAATTGCATCTGTAAAAAAATATCGACATCTGATTAGTTTCAGATTCAATCATCATCCTTGTCTTATATTTCACCTAAATTTCTCGACCTCATGCAATTTCATGAAGCTTCAAACAGTGACCTATCCCAGCGACTCATCCTTTCCACTCATTACATAATAAGTGCCCCCACACATACCCCAAGATCGTTTGGCTGAGTTGGATGTTGTCTAGATCTACCTAGCTAGGTCTTCCTAGCAAGATATAGCAGAGGTTGAAGAACAGAAGACTAAAAATATATCTAAAAGGGAATATAAGAAGAGCAAAAAACTACTCTCAGACGATGTATGCTAACATATTTTAAGCAATGTTTAATTTCTATGAATGATTTTAAAGGAGATGTGAAGTATACATAATTAATTTAGACAGCAACCCAATTAAGCAACAAACAAAACGTGACAATTTACTTCTAAAGTTCAATCTACGGTCTTCTTCAATGGACATGTCATTACAACATTTTAAAGTTTTGTATCTTCCCAAGTCTAACTATAATATATAGAATAGTTGTGAATATGTGAGCCAAAATTAGTTCCTGTGAAAAAAGTTCCAGTGGAACAAATATCACAGGAAATATATTCTGGGAGAACTTTTTTCACAGATAATTTCTATATGATTTGTTTCATCTCTATAAAATAAGTTCCACAATTTACCTGGTGAAATAAGTTCTGGGTTTGTGAAATTTGTTCCTTACCTAGTGAAATAAGTTCCAGGTTTGTGAGATTTGTTCCTTACCTGGTGAAATAAGTTCCTTGTCTGTGAAATATGTTCCACTGGTTATACAAGTTATCTTTTATACTGAGCATTGTTATCAGTGAGCTTAAAGTTATAATTCAAGTACATTATAAAAACATGTATTATATTGATAATGTAATAAATAAAAGGTGTAAACATCCAATATGGATTCTGTGGAGTATAGCAAAATGGTTAATTACATTATCCATACAAAAATATCCAAATGACAATAATTTAATGAGGCAGATAAGCGAAGAATAAGAAAAATCCGTCAGAAATTTTGTATAGATCAATCATTTATTTATGAATATTGCAATTCAACATATGTTACTTCATATCAGAATTTGTAGATAAACTGTTTTCACAGAAATATGTCTCATCCTTTTGTAATTTTGATTATGCAAATGTTGAAATTAAAATAGCAATACTTTAACATGTTTCATAAGTTATGCAAATATTCAAAGTCAATTAACCATGACTGAGGTACATGGCTAAACAATTTCCATGTAAATGAGATGTGCCAAAGCTAATACAACTGCATACCAAATACCATTGAATTATTATAAGTCGTTCCCTTTAAACAAACCTAAACACAAACATTAACTTATAAACTATGTAAAAGTTTCAAAGTCAATGAACCATGAAGAGGGGGTGAGGCTATATAATATCCATGGAAACGATATTTGCAAATGCCAATAAATTTGCATACCAAATATCGTTTACTTAACATTAGCAGTTCATCTTAAACTGATCTAATCACAAACTAATACATGTAAACTAAGCAAAAGTTTCTAAGTCGATAGACAATGACTGAGGGGGCGGGGCCAAATATTCTCTATGGTAATGAGATGTGCTAATGCTTATACAACTGAATACCAATTAACATTTGCCTACCCTAAATGGTTCCCCTTGAACTGACCTAATCACAAACTAATACATGTTAACTTAGCAAAATTCTCAAAGTCAATAGACGATGACTAAGGGAGCCAAATAATCTCCATGGAAATAAGATATGCCAATGCTTATACAACTGCATACCAAATATCATTGACCTACCACTAGTGGTTCCCCATAAACTGACCTAATCACAAACTAATACATGTAAAATAAGCAAAAGTTTCAAAGTCAATAGACCATGACTGAGGGGGCAGGGCCAAATAATCTCCATGGAAACGAGATGTGTCAATGCTAATACAACTGCATACCAAATATGATTGACCTACCACTTGTGGTTCGCCATAAACTAGACCTAATCACAAACTAATACATTGTTGACGACGCCGCCGCCGCCGACGCCGGAAACAGCATACCTATGTCTCGCTTTTTGACTCCGTCAAGGCGAGACAAAAAATGAAATAGTGTGTTTTAAATATTTATCGCAGTTGTTAATCATAGTTGTGCATTTGTTTTTTAATCATATTATCTACGTACAATATATATGCTGACTTAATTTGAATTTCTCAAAGATTTACCTTATTTTGAACGTTGTCGTGTTGTTTAAAGACTTCAATGTTGAATATTAAACTTGTCAGGTACAACTATAGAATGTTTTGCTTGATATAAAATTAATGCATCATGTTAATCTATAACACCCGGAACTTATTTAACATTTAGTAAAAAAATTAGTTCCGGAACAAATTTTACAGTGCTGGAACATATTTTCTTAAAATATATATTCCGGGTAAAAATTTTCTGTGATATAAATTCCGGTGGAACATATTTCCTATGAAATAAGTTCCAGCGGAACAAATGTCACGACGGAACATTTTTTTTGTTACAAAAAATAATCTTAATAGCAAAAAATAATTCAGATATTACTTGGAACTATGAGCAGGGTCAGGAACAAACTTCTAATGTTTGTTTTGAGGTTTATTGACTATTTATACTAGACATGCTAAATGAGAGAAAGAGAAATAAAAGAAAATTATAAATTTAAAAGACGAAAATACTGTTGGCACTTTAAAAGATTATTCTTAATTGTATGTTTTCTACAAGAATTGTAAAAACAAGTATAAACATACATATACTATGATCATAAAACAAAAAGACATTTATATGTCAACATACGAACGGTCTCCCACAAAAGATTATGTCAATCCAGTATGTCAAGTTTTTAAGGGTAAGTATGATAAGGGCCTTATTCGTCATCCAACATTAAATGGTATAGTAAATAAATATGAAGATATGTACAAGTAAAACAATAACAAAAGATACAGTATCAAGCTGTATGCTTGATTAAGTTTTGGTCAAATTTGTTGATTCTCTTATGTTGATGGCCTCATAGTGAACTTAGAGTAGCTTTGCCGAACTTATCACCTTCTTTATAACCAACGACGTCTATTATGATTTGAAAAAAAATGGCGGCGAAACTACTTTGTTTTCAGGCGCTTACAATAGGTCTTATATAACAAATTACCCGTCTCACGACTCTGAGTATTTTTCATCAAAAAATAAAATCAAGAAGTCCAATAAAACCAAATAATCTGAAAAAAGAAACATTTAATTGTTAAGGATACTCATTATTCAAATATAGAAAAAGAGGCGTGGGGCATTCCACATTGCAGTCCAACTACAATGAATAGACAAAATCTTCATCGACAACAAAAATAACCATATATATATGTGAAGCTTTACATTTTAAGGATCATTTTTGAAAAGATGTGAGATACCGTTGGAAATATATTAATTGTGTTCTTATATGTTTAAATTTTACTACGTTTCACTCTCTACCAGGCATGGGGCGAATTACATTGCAATGTTATGCATTATATTACAATTACTTTGACCAAACCATGCATTATATTACAATTACAATTACATGCATTTATCAAAGTAATGCATTATATTACAATTACTTTTGCAAAGTAATGCCTTGAATTACACATTGAAAATTGAATTTGAAAATTTTATTAGTGAATAGAAAAATTAAACATTTTGAAAAACAACTACAAGTCACAAAAGATTCTAGCTTATGCAGTAACTGTTCCATGAATTGAATATAAGTATACATGTAAAAAGTCTATTTAATTTGACTTTTACAATTTTTAATTATTTTAACTTAATGTTGACTTTACTTTTATAAATATACTTTTTGTTGTTTTTCTTTAAATTTTAAACGAAATATTTAATTACTGTGAATTACTTCCCTAATTATAAAATAAACATAGACCTTAATTAAAATTAACATATTCTTAATTAATCAAGAAATCTTAAATTTGGTTTAGTTAAAACTCCAACAATATGTTAAAGATGTAGTATGTGAAAAAAGTAATGACATGTAATGTAATGTAATGCATGAAATTACACAACTTTTTGCTAAAGTAATGCATTATATTACAATTACATGTAATGCACAAATTGCTGCATTACACATTGAATGCAATTACTTGGAAAAATGTAATGCATTACCATGCATTACAATTACAAATTTGCATTACCCCATGCCTGCTCTCTACACTTTTCGATGCCTATAATGAACGAAAAACTTTCAGGTGGAAGCGGCCATACTTTTCTAACACAAATAAACAAATAAACAAGCAAACAACCAAAGAAAAAGCCAACGAACAACTCCGATCTGTTTGAAAAAAAATAATCGATAAAAAGACATTACCCCCAATTTCCAGTTTTAATACTTTCCCCCCAAAAAAATTGGTAAATCTAAAAAAAGGTATAAGCCTTTTATAATTTGTGTTATCTACTACAATTTACATACAGTTTTGAACGAATTGAACTACAAAGAGAAAAAATTTTCCACTTTCATCAGCTATGAGACGGCTAGCTTTTTAGAAAAGCTATTACTTGTTCAGTTTATAAGAATTCATAATTGAAAGGGTTATTTGCATGAGTATAGATCAATTGCTTTTCTTTCACCCAAGCCATGCATATACTCAGAGGACAAAAAGGATAAAAAACTTGAACACAAGTACAGTATAAGTAAACTTTTTGAAAATAAAATAGTTCCCTACTTTATCATCTTACTATTTTATGACGTATTAGGACCTAAATTAAATAAAAAAATTTTGCAAAGTTTTAAAATATCCAGTTACCTTTAAAGAATAATGATAAGATCCGAAATAAGGTAACTTTAAACTGTGAAGGAAAACATGTATATATGATGAATCGTTCTAAACCCCAACCCTTTTACATAAGTCTTATAAAATAACCTTCTCATTATAAATTCTGATGTACGTATAGCACCTTTAACTAACAATTATAAGAAAGTTTAATTTAAGACCACTTAAATTCTAAATTCTTATTTGTAAATATATCCAGTTCTTACTTAACTTATTCTTACACTTCAGCACATTATGAATATTATTTTTAAAATTTTATGATGACAATCCTATGAATTAGTTATAGTATTAATTATTTAGTAATTATTATTGCCTTAATTCAGTCATCTGTACATAATTAAATGTTTCCTTATGTTCTAAGGTGTATATAGTTGCTACAATTATACCCTATGGGTAGTGCTCCACAATTAATGGAGGAATATACAAGAAACTGAACTGAACTGAACTGATTAATCGTAGAGAGATGTACCTAAATTTATGGTAAATAGTTAACAGAAAAAAGTTTCATTCTCAGTCTTATTTCAACTGTATTAATTTTAAAGACATGTCAGATCCAAACGAAGTCTACGTATATGTACATGTATACGTCTTGTCTTGTCTATAGTCGGGAAATTTTCAATTCAATTCATTTCATTTGAAAACGTTAAAAATAATATAGATCTTATTCATTGCAAAACGTGGCGTCCTTTTTGGATAAAACCCCTGTTTCATCTACGAGGAAAGTCCTATAATATAAGAATGCATTTATAGGTGTGGTTGAACATTGATAGTAAAAAAAAGGAAAATCTGGCATCAATAGAGCGCATAATAAATTAAAAAATAATTCCCGAAATAAATGTATATAAAATATGTGTGTGACTATTGAAAGTGTATCCACATATTTACAAGACACTGTCGCTTTTTTCACTCGTTCTTGTCCAGTAACACCGTGTATCATCGGTACAGCGGATATAGGTACTAACCAAGCGGACGTGATCGATTTTTCTTCTGACACGGTAAGAAAGTCTTTGTTTTGTTTACATAATATCAATGTGTACCTCAATCTAAACATAATTGTTGTTTTAAGAAATGA